ATATTAAATTTTTTATTCTTTATTTCTTCCAATGAAATTGGATAATATCAGGGATTGGGAGAGGTTAGTTACATCGAGTACAAATATCTTAACTCAAAGTCTTGCTTCTTTATTGTGATAAGATTATGAGGAATCTATTGTGATTACCTCACCAATGGTGCTAAAGGCTTTTGAGAGAAGTTGGGAGGTTCTAAATATACATCTAAGGCCCCAAAGTTGTACCCAGATTGAGAAATTAGCTAGATTTGAGTCATAGGTGGTTTTTGGATCAAAATTTGCCTACCATGTTATAAATGTAATATTTTGGTTGTTGAAGTTATATTATCTATAAAAATTTTGAGTTCTGTCCTGTTCATTGATAAATTAAATTTCAAAATAACTACCTCTAAGTATAGTGGTTGAAGAGTATGAGGGATGCAAATTGAAAGAGGCCCATTTGTGAAGGAAGTGAGGTCTTAGATGTTCTTATATATATCCTATGAGGGTATATTTTTCTTAATGTTCTATTTGGCTGACATCTATTGAAAAGTACTTTGACTAAGGAAGGTTCTAATTGTGGTATGTTTGGGTTGTAGATATGACAATGTTGTATCTAGTGATGGAAGGAGGGAGAGGGGGGGGAGAGGGGATTTTTGTAATTCCTATGGTTGCAAAATCAATTCTATATGCATGTAGGAAAGTTTCTACATCCACATTAATTTGAGCTACTAGCCGCTCTAACTCTTTGTTTACAAAATACTGATGCATTAGGCCTAATTGAGGATTTGATTGTATAAAATCTTCTTTGATGTCCCACATTGACTCTATGTATTCCTTGAGTTTCTCCAATGTGTGATGAACAAGCACTTCGAATTTCCTTCCCAGTGCTATGCATAGGGAGATGTAGTTATTTTGGTCAGTTGGTGTGTACCTTGAGCCCTAGTTCCATAGCTTCAATGATAGTGTACTGGGTGGAGTTATGATAGTGGTTTGACATGGACTTTCCGTCCCCTTTAGTACTTATAATACTGAGTGTATCCCTAGTCGAGTCCTTCAGATATGTTTGTATTGGTGGCGGCATTGTATCCTTCGCTTGTTCAAGTAGAGTAGGGCTGGATTCCCCGCCATCTGGGGGGTAGAACTGTTGGAGCTCGAAGCTCCCTTTGGACCTTCTTTCCTCAGAATTGAAATTGACAAAACTTCCACAACTTTCTTGTATTTTAGGTAAGGTGTCTAGGGAAAGAATACTTACGTGAGAGGTCGTTGTTGTCATTGCAAGTAGTTCCTTCTCTTGTGTCTTTTGATGTCCTCTTCCTGCACATGTCGCTATCGTCGATTGGACCTTACATTGTAATCCATACACTGGTTCTTTCTGGACGTTACTGAGGCCTTCTTTCCGTTGACTGATGTCCCTCCGTTTCTCCATGTCTCTCAATGCATTAGTGTTTAACTACGTTGAGTTCTGCTGATTCGGGAACTAAAATTCTTAAAACGCTCTAACTTTGCTGGTTACCTTCCTCGCAAATTAATTGGTTGTGCCGAAAAATCCAGATCTACAATTCGTGTTCAATCTACCTGCAAATTGTTGCAATCTCCTAGAGTGTTGCAAAGCTTCTTGGACTGTAGCATACTATTGTGCTCTAAAATATCTCAACAATTGAACATTCCGAAATTTGTGGATCACTAGGGCGTGTCTCCGGATTTCACGGAGCCCCGCCGCTCTGCTCTGCCCCTCTGCCATTCGAGCTACTCGCCTGGTACTAAACGGAAAGCAACTTTATTTACAAATTTCTGTATTGACTTTGCTCACGCCCACCGACCCATCCATCTGGCACTCCTTGCTGTGAAAATAAGACAGGATTTGAATCGTCTTCTTCACGAAATTTTTGCTTTCCAGAATGGCTCCCTGCTGAACACTTTTTGCATGTGCTTAGATATCGCCCTCTGACAAACCGACTCTCTGCCCTGATGGACCAAGCCCAGCACAAGACGAGTCCAACACTCCCATTGCGGAGCCCAGCTCGTGTTGTTTTTTGTCACGCACTTAACAAGGAAGCTGGAAGGACCCAGTCAACAGTGTCGTGGCAACAAGGGCTACAACAACTCCACAGGGTACAAAGATCATAGGTGGAGGAAGATGAAGATGAAGAAGATATGACTCTATGCACTTTTCAGAGCTACGGCGCAGTGAGTGCTGCTTCCCTTTTGGGTGCGGTGGCCGTCGGACAGCGAAAACTTGCTGTTGGGGGTCGCTGTGCAAGAACGTGAAAGCACCACGTACGCGAAAGGCAATGATGGAGGAGGTTCGTCAGGCTTGGGGCACCCTTGTTTGCGGGACATGCAGTGTGTGGTGAAGTACATGGGTCAAGTAATCGTAACACTGCTCTTTGACTTGTTGCTTGTCCGGCAGGGAATGAATAGATCTTGACTTGCGCGTTACTCGCTGCCCTTCATCACGCTGTGCTCTGAGATGCACCCGCTCCCATCCAGTCCTATCCGCTTCTTCTTCGTAAAATTGTCTGTTCGAGCGTATTCGTCTTTTAATATCACCACCAAATGGACCCCATTTCACATACACAAGTCAGCCAGCAAGCCCTTGTCAACCCCCCAAGGGGTTCTGCATCAAACTGGCCCCGGACAATAATTTTGCCTGTACAACATCTGTTTTAGAATGGCCATCACAAGAATGATGGAACTGAGGAACCTCACGTTTGTCTCATCCCGTTGTTTTATGTCAGGGAACCAGCTTGAGCTGATGGATGTTGCCACTTGGAGCTGCAAATTGTGAAGGAAGAAGATCAGAAACATGATCCACTGAGACCCCACAATCCATAGGGACACTTTGGTTGGCTGTACTCCCAAACGGTAACGCTGTGCTGGAAACCATAACACCTATTCAGACCGCATTAAATTTACAAAGGTGCTCTTGAGTTGCCAATCTTTCTCGTCAGGAGATAGATTCGATTCCCCTTCTAAGAGAACAGGAACTGCATATTTTTTGTGCTACTCATGAGGTTTCTCTTTTGCAAATCCAAACTCTGTTATGTCCAGAACGTATGCATTGTCTTTTACAGTTCATAACAAGTTGGATTGTGTGTCACCCAAACGCATTAAAAAATGGAGGGGAGAAACTGGACATTTCAGTACATCAAAAAGTAGCAACTACTTGACAGCATGACAGTCTGAGATTGAGGGAGGACAAAATCTGAGTAAAAGACAATAATTGGGACTACGCGCACTATCAACTCCAGAAAAAGTTCTTCCTGCCTGCCTCGCGTTGGTTTCTTCATCACATTCACAGGAATATTTGGTTGCCAACCTTGCAACTATTATGTGGGCAGCTCGGTGACCGTGCAAGACAGGTTCCCTTCATCTTCATCCGCGGCTGTCTCTTAACGAGAATAACGCTAATGAAACCCACAAACTATTGAGTGATCAATCACTGCAGGAACTGTTTCTATTTCAGCGACTTTAGAAGGCTGTGTGAAGCAATGAAATCGAAATTCGTTACCAGTAATTGTTGTCTAGGTTGTGCTGGGTCTGTGGAACAAGGACACTCAACGCACAATCCATGCATCAGTTAAAGGACAACACCTCCGAGGAGTTTCACTACGAATGACGTGACTTGGCGCGTCGCATTGAAGAGACTCTCAAACGTCCATGTGACTGCCCAACGCTCACCCTCACGTACATGCCGCCGCTTGCTGCTTCATGGCTGTGATGATCAACAATCCAGGAAGGTAGAAAATTATCAGCATGTATGAGTTGTGATGAACTCGTGGGTTGATTCCACCCAACGTGATAGCGTCGGCCATGAGTGGACACGGATGTCCAGAGCTACCCATAGTTGCCGGTTGAAATCAATCAAGATGCAATTAACATGCTGATACGTTGACTAGGCTCAACCCGATGCCAGGGTTTTTGGAATTTCTGCCGAATGAATTGTAGTTAGATCATCGTAGTGGGCGAAAATTTGAGATGAGGATATCGTGTCTACCAAGAATTCGACACTCCTGAAATAGTTTCTTAGCTGTGTAAACCCTTGTCTCCAACCTAGTAACTACCAATTTCAGGTTGAAATTTAACGCTCTTGAGCGCCGATAGCTATGCATTCAACTGGTCACGTCCACGAGGTCATTGATTTACGGGGAAAATCTGTGGATGGTGAGGCGAAATGTCAAAACAATGGTAATCGATGAGTGATTAGTTCTGAACTTACTCTTAAACCACTGGCAGTTTGCGCATAATGTTTAATTTTCGGTGTGAGAACTTTCCATCATGAAATTGAGATCTGACGTTCAGACAAGTTTGAGCATTGGCAATAATTTATCAGTGCTGGAGTCGTGAGAGATGCAGGGTTTAACGCCCTATACCGGGCTTGACTGTGGTTGGAGATCAAAGTAGTAGTGTGAAGGGGACAGATTGGTTATCGGTCAGGACCATGCGTTACAAAAGCGGCACCAGATGCAGACATATCAATGTCTACGTCACTGCCAACGACAAAAAGCTGCAAGCATCATTCAATTAGTATAAAAGATTGCGTCTGGCAATGTACAGATTGAACATAAAGACCAGAAGAGATGCTTCCCTGGAATACTGGGAGCACAATTTATTCACCTCGTTGTCCACCACCCAAGCTCACATGCGTACACTTGACAAGGTAAAGGTTGCTGTCAGTTGAGTGCTCAATTTCAGCCGACGTGAGAATTCACAGAAACCAAAGGATAGAATATAATCGGCTTATGATGCAGTATATTAAATCCTGGATGAAGGAGGTGGCTCAGATGCGCAAAAATGCGTTAGCTTCTTCGAGGATTGGCCCTTTGTAGCTGTTAACGAGTACAAACATTATCGTGCACAAATCTGGGGTAATCGAACTGCCTTTGCAGCGAGAAAGCAATAACTATCAGAAACTGAAGCAACGGCTTCAAATTGACCATTGTAGAATAATACTAACCAAAGAAAATGAATTTTTAGACGATTGCCAGTGAGGGATGGATTAAAGTGGGTAACCGGACCCACCTTCGCAGCTTAATTTTTCCAAGTTCTTGTCCCTCGCAGAGCTACCCCTGCCGTCTCATCATACTTAAACTCGTCACCTAACCCCGCAGAAGTTCAAATTGAAGCTCAAATAGGGCCTCGTAGTTCCACCAGGTTCATAGTCAAGTGCAGCTCGCCACCAGCTCACCACCAATCGTCGGCTTCGAAGCCCCTTGACGATTCTGGATTTAGTAAGTTGAGAAGCCAGAAGGCGTACAGGTGCAGATTGAGAATGGGTTGGGAAGACAGGTTGGTGGTATGGGGGCTGGCGATTCAGTTGGTGATATGGGGGTGGGGTGGAGCGCCGGTTGTGGAAGCGCAAGGCTATTGGGAGACGGTGGTGAACAACGCTGGGATCTCGACAATGCATTCGGCGGTGGCACACGACGGCAACGTTGTGTTGTTGGACCGAACCAACGTTGGGCCGTCTCAATTGAAATTGGCTCCAGACAATTGCCGCGACAATTTAGCAGATCGGGTATGTGAGCATCATCACATCTTCGGACACAATTCAGATTGCCATATAGCCTACTGGACGTCTAATAGGAATCTCTCCATCCCTGAAAACATGTCAGGCTGACAGATTGATTAGGGCATTTTGAATTCGGCTATAATTTTATGTAAAACTCACAAGCGTGATTGTCTACTGTCTCGCCATTCGAAGCTTTGAGATTCTTCAAGTGTTTGAAGAAGCCGAAAGAATGCATTGACCCGTTTCTTGGTTTGAGACCGCAGTCATTGAAGCATGACTGTACTGCACACTCTGCTCTCTTCTCTCCCAACTCCAACAAGGTTAGGCCCCTGAAGGTTATCACGGATACCTGGTGCTCATCAGGTCAATTTGATGGGAGTGGGAAGCTGGTACAAACCGGCGGAGATGCTGACGGCGTGAAGAAGGTAGAAATCAAGCTCTCCAACTCACCTATGTTAATTTCTTGTAACTTTCACCAAATCTAAGCATGTTTCAATAAGATGCTACAATGTAGCATGTCTGTAACATGGCTCAAGCGCTCTGAAACACCATTGTGGCGATCGGCAGAAGCAAAAATCTTCACTTAGATGAATATGAAACAGGCTACTTGTCAGTATCAGCTGTGATGCTGTATCGTCTGCATTATAATACACACAGAAATTGTCTACTCAGAATTCATTCTAAAAAGCAGGAAATTAAACTAGAGCAACGTGCAGATACGGCATTTCACTCCCTGCGGAAAAGGTGCATGCGACTGGGTTGAACTCAACGGCGGATTGCAAGAAGGGCGCTGGTACGCTTCGAACCAAATTTTACCAGACGGAACTCAAATCGTTGTGGGCGGTCGTGGCGTAGCCACTTTGGAGTACGTCCCCGCTAATGGCCGGGGAACCTACTATCTTCCCCTCCTCTCCAAAGTAAGTAACATAGCCCTCATTGAAAGTGGCCCTACCGAAATCATTCTACGATATCAAGCAAATCAATGTGAGCTTATTTGCATTGGTGGCTGCAGAGTAACGACGCTCAGATGGACAACCTGTATCCGTTCGTGCACTTGTTGCCAAACAACCAGCTCTACATCTTCGCAAACAGAGACTCCTGCCTTTACGACTGGAAAACTAACAAGGTAGCCCGCGACTACCCCACCATGCCAGGAGAGCCCCGCAACTATCCCTCAGCCGGAAGCTCGGTAATGCTTCCTTTGTCTGCCAGCAATGACTTCGGCAACGCGGAGGTTCTCATCTGCGGAGGAGCTCAATACGGCGCGTATCTGAACCCTGCAGGACAACCTGCATCTCAATCATGCGGCCGCATCACGCCACTCGCAGCAGGCGCCGGATGGGTCATGGAGAACATGCCCCAGCGCCGCCTGATGGGCGACATGATCCTTCTGCCCACCAGAGACGTCCTGATCATCAATGGCGCTGGTGGTGGTGCTCAAGGGTGGGGCAACGCCGTAAACCCAGTAAAGACTCCAGTTTTGTACAAGCCCAACAACGCCGCCGGAGCTCGCTTCCAGACGCTAACAGCCTCCCCAGTCCCCCGCGTCTACCACTCCACCGCAAACCTGCTACCCGATGGACGCATCCTGGTCGCGGGATCCAACACGCACCAATTCTACACTCTAACAGGATACTTACCCACCGAGCTCAGGATCGAGGCCTTCAGTCCTCCGTATCTAGCATCGAACCGCCCTACCTTCACCGCAGCTCCAGGGGGGTTAAAACATGGCGCAGGATTCACCGCCACCGTGAAGGTGGATAATGCGAAACACATCGAACTGAACATGGCGAGCGCGCCGTTGGTGACGCATTCTTTCGCGCAGGGGCAGCGATTGCTGCAGCTGCAGGTCGGTGCGCCCATCGCAGCCGGCGGAGGTAAATTCAGGGTGGATTCCAAGGCTCCCCCAACTTCAGCTGTTGCGCCCGCAGGCTACTACATGCTCTTCCCCCTCGTCGACGGCATCGTCGGCTCTGCTTCGTGGGTGCGCATCGGCTGATTCCACACACTTCACCGCTCCGAGAATGCGGGGTGTTGGTGTCGGTGATATGTCGGCACGAGTCTTGTCGGTAGAGTAACAGTATTTGATAGTTTGCTGGTTTGTGGTCTGTTGTGAAGAAGTTTGGTTCTTCGTTGACCCTCTCCGAAGGTTATTGTACAGAAAATCTTCTCTTCCATGCCTCAACATTGATATTCTATATTGGCTTTTTATTTGTGCAACTAAATCTTCTTTAAATTTGTTGTATTTTTAAGTGGATATGTTGTTTTTTATACATCTGTATTTTTAGGTTGAATTCTCTTACACACGGAGGATATAAGCAGCTAGTTTGATTCCTTTTTTCCTTTTTTTTCTTCACAAATGATATGGTGTGCAAAAAGAAATAAAATAGGTAAGTTTGCAAATGTACTTGGTTGTAATTTCATTTCAAATTCAAAACTAGTAGTTACATTCTTAAAAAGGTTTTAATACCAACATTGAAAATGTGTGCAACAAATAAATAAATATATATATATATATATCTCAAACATAGTTAATTATTATCATATGTGGCAAATAAATAAGTAAATATATATTAAGCATTAGACGTTATTAATCATCACAAGTGGTGCATTGAAGGTAGGATGAAAATTAGCCTTGCTAGTGTTTTGCAATGTAGGCTACTTGCTTATACTCTAGCAATTGCATGGTCTTCTCTTGCCCAATCACATTTAAGAATTTATCTTTGTTCAACAATAAAAGTCAATAAAATAATTAATTATTAGAATTTAATTAGATTTGTAGTATAATAAATTTAAAAATATGTATTTAATTATAATAATTTATCATTAGTAAATTCTCAAAATATTTTCTATATTAATTTGAGTATCCAACTTGTTGTCAAGTTTGTAGAAGTCACTAGCAATAAAACCTTATTTTTTATGAAATTATTAAATATTGTCTTTGAAATTGTCTTTGTGGAAGAAGAAGGCAGGTCAGAAGCACTTGCCAGACAACACTGCGTCAACCAAATTGAAATTTCCTTCACATTTTGGCGGCCGAACTTCAACTCCAAATCGGGAGATATGAGAGAGAATGCAAGATTGATCCACCAAGCATGGGCACAAGTGCATGGACTGCCCACATTACTGTGGACACTACTAATATTAACGGAAATTGTTAACTAAGTCGCAGAAGTGATCTGGGTAGACACGGAAAGCTAATACAGAGACAAGGCAATCAGTCCACGGCATTCTAGTCCTTGATATCGACACCCTACCGTCCAAAGTCAACATCCCAGACATACAAGGCGGGGACTCCACTGAGTACCTCATCGAATACAGTGGCTTCCTCGCTCAATGCAGCCGATGCCACAACACTACACATCAAATACGCAACTGCCCAGTTTCCAAATCCACTCAAGAAAAGAAACGAATAAGAGGATTACCAACAAATGGCGCAAATAATAGACCCACGAGATAGGTGGCACAACGCACCACTGATCACATTGGGAAATCCTCCCAACACTTGCAAGCTAGGTCACAACAACACTTGCCTAGCACAAGAATGTTCTGACAAGAATAGATAGGACAAGAAACACACCTCTGCACCACAGTCATACACCAAACGGAAGGAGAAACACATTGGACTCTAGTAGGGGCTAGACTACACATGACCAATGTAGCAATGCTTGCTGTTGCAGCAACATAATCAACTGTAATAGCGGCAACAACCCGCTAAGCTAGTAGACAGATGCAGTGTGGATACCACGGCCAACACATGACGAAAACGCTATACAAATGGATTAATACACACTCATTCCATTCAACGCAACAACAACTAGAAACAACAACCAATCAAAAGTATTGGGAACCCAGTGCACCTCCTACATCAACAAATGCAAGCAAAATGTCGATTAAAACTAGATGCAATCAAAACACATGACGCAACATCTGCTTCCGATGGGAGCACCTCTAGCCTAGGTCCCATCACAGCATTTGAATCACTCATGGTAGCCAAGCACAGGTCCCAAAACATTTAATTATGTATGACCAGCTCTCAATAGCACTGTACAATATCCAGTGCCTTGGTAGAGGACTAGAGGGCATTTGCAAACGCTGAGAGATAAGAGATCTCTTTCTAAACATTCAACTTCAGCCAGACATGGTCCTATTACAAGAATACAATTAACACCAGAAAAATGCATTGAACAAACGGATCAAATGAACTTTCTTAAAAGAGCAATCTTTTAAGTAACATATGTGAACATGGCATGACCGTGCGAAGGAGAGCCTAGTTTTTCACTCATCTTAATTCAGCATTAAAGAAAATAGGAGTTATTAACATTTAAGGATATAGCTACACAGGCCCACGGGCAAGCTTATGGAAAAAAATCTCAGATTACCTTCTCCACGAGGCCAAATAGATTATGATGGGCAATTTCAACTTCATTGAAGCCCTCCAAGACAAATTAGGGGGACACCCCACAACAAGCAAAGGCCCAAGAAAGATTGTCTCGAACCTGTGACCTTTGCCTAATTAGCACGACTCTCTATCCAGCTGATATGGTCACAGAATTCTGCAACACATCTGTCACTGACTCTAGTCCACTTGGCCGCCACAGCGTTCATTCCTTTGATTAATATAGCATGCGAGGGCCTCGCGAGCTACTTGATCAATCCAGTTTCTTCGGAGGTGTAGCTCGGCAGCTAGAAGCTCTGCAATCTGCTGTTGGCATACTGTTCTTCACACTTTTCGTCGCTTTGCTGCCTCTTATGTGTTGCATTCTCGGACCGCCCGTAATGCTGCTGCTATTTCGTTCGTCCATGTATCATCCGGGTGGTTGCGAATAGCTGTTGTCCATGCCTCCCCTAAGAGCTCCCGTCCCTGCACTATGTAGAGTTGCATGTTGTCGAAGTATGGTGTTAGAGGGAGTGGCCACAAATCGAAGGCGTAGCGTCCCGGAAAACAGTCTGATGCCGTCTACGGAGCCCCAGAGCTCGCACAGTTCCACGGTGGGTAATCCGCGTGCCAGGAAGTCCCCGCACCAGCTGAATAACAAGTCTCTTCGTCCAGGCAGGCGCCGCGCCAGCCATGTCTGCTACTCAAGTCTCGCAGCAAATGAAAACAAAACACCCAACTCGAAATGCACTACGACAAAGTCTAACCCGAGATATCAAATTCTTGCGAAGGCGTGCAAAACCGCAAAAAAGTCTCAACCCAGCACTCGCAACAGTAGATGCAAGTCCGTCATTGAAGGTCTCCCAAGCCCTAATTTGAGGATGCAATGGTCGTGCGGCTATAGAATTCACACCATATAAATACGAGTTTTTGACAATCAGAATCATCGGATCGGAGCCTTCTTAGCTCAGCTGGTTAGAGCGTCGTGCTAATAACGCGAAGGTCACAGGTTCGAGACCTGTAGAGGGCAACGGAGGTATAGCTCAGTGGTAGAGCAATCGGCTGCAGTCCGATAGGTCAGCGGTTCAATCCCGCTTGCCTCCTACCGTTGAGAATAGATTTTATCTGCACCTGAGGTTCTCGCGCGTGAGTCCAAACTATCTTTTCCCAGTTGGACCCGAAAACACCAAGCCAAATGTGGAAAGGAATTCTGTTTGATGAAAGTCTTGTTTCGCATGGTAAGTGATGCCTTCTACGCATCCAATATTCTGCCGAGTGCACGCTTGGAATTCTGTACTGTCATAATCACAATGGGACCCCGTAAAAACTCGCAATAAATGAGAAGGATTTCTGTATGCTCTTGAAAGTTTTGTTTTGCATGGTAAGTGATGCTTTCTACGCATCCGATATGCTTCCGAATGCACGCTTGGAATTCTGTTTCCAAACAGGAGCACGGTGCTACTATTGTACATGCTTTGTGACTACTATACAGTTAAGTATAATAACAATTTCTATACTTTCCTAGTAAGGCAATCAACGTATTATTGATACACGTTCTGGACAATAATCAGCAGCGCTCTCTGGGGTCATGCATTTGCCGTCTTACTTCCCGCTTCCACTTGATACCTTTTCCAAATCCTGCAATGGCAATTGTAAATTGTTAATTTGAAAAAGTTCATGAATATTGCTAGCATCAAAAATTATAAACTTCTATTGTCATGATTGATTGAAAGTGTTTCAACATAGACTCAAAGTTAATGGTCCATGTTTGTAGCTTAGTTGGTAGAGCCGGTTAGTGGGGTGGAGCAGAGTGAATGACAATGAGTGTGGTGGAGCAGAGTGAATGACAATGAGTGTGGTGGAGCAGAGTGAATGACAATGAGTGTGGTGGAGCAGAGTGAATGACAATGAGTGTGGTGGAGTGACAACTATTTAGGGCAGAATGTTGGTAGATCATTCAATGGAGATACAATTTAGATAGTAGAGCATTTTCATGCATTCAACATTATTTAGAAGAATCTATGCATCAAGATGATTTAAATAATGCATTTTTTTTAGCAACTTTGAGTTTCTTATGATTAATAAACCAGTTTAGAGTATATAAACATCTTTTGTCTTTACAACAACAACATTAAAGTTGAATCCACAAGTTGAGTGAAATATGATAGAACATACTTTAGATTATTTAAAGCAACAATAGAATTTAGATAGACATGACTGTACCACATAAGTAATTAAATGTCACTTTTAGAGCTATTATAGTCTAATAGAAAGACAACATAAATACATAAGAAGAATTGTACCACTATTCACTCAACAAACATAGAAAAGACAAATATGCACTAGAAACAATACTTGCTATAAAGTTGATATGCATGAGGTGACAATTATAGCCAACCAATTACCAAATCTACAAGAGCAGCCAACAATGGAGTTGAAGAATTAAAGTTGAAACTTTATCATATTTTAGGAACAAATCCAAAAAGAAATTTATTAGTACCACCAATACTTCTAAGAACAGGACTTGTCCAAAAAACATACAAAAAGATTCAAAGGCTTAAAGAGAAGGTATTATCTAATCAAAGAATGTTGATTGAACAGATGTAAGACATCTTACAATACAAATAGAAAAAAATTTAAGGAATTTATTAGACAGAATCCCTGCATTAGAGTGAGCTATAAGAAGAGCATTGTAGAAGAACTCTTGGAATTCATACTCATGATTACATAAGACATCACCATTTTGTACACACTAGTATCGTTTCAATAAAAATAAAATGTGAGCTCTATAGAATTAGGTTTTGATAACCCTAATTATTCAATCTTTTTTCAATACCTATCAATTATACTAAAATCTTCAACTATTGAAGCTAATAGTA